GACCCGCAATATACCCTGAAACATCCCAATGTACACACGCATGCACATAGCTTCAGCCACATGGACTCCCTCTCCAACCCCAACTCCTCCCCAGATATACCCAGGACTCCGCTGCGGCCCTGACACTTTGCACATACGCAGACTCTCAGCGTCCCACCACCTCACTAGCACACGGACTCTCCCGATAGCCAGCATTTCCCCCAGCTGCAGCCCAGCACCTCCCCAAACACGTCTGTCCGGCCTTTCCAAACACACAGCCCCCCATACACATCGGCACACTGACTGCCTCCACACCCATTCAGATGAGAACACCCCCTTGTAGCCACACCAGTTACCTCAGACACACAGACATTGATAGCTGCGGTTCTAGTACATCTCTAAACAGATAACTTCCCCCCAGTTTCTTGTACTCTCCCAGACACACACACACACCTGCTTTCCCCATCCAGACCCAAAACCCCCTCAAAAAGGCAGTCCTTTGTACATCCCAACAAGCTCCAGAACTTTCCTCAGCCACCTGAGCCCAGGGACAGCCCACATGCACCTCTCCAGACACCGACCCCACACTCACACACACACACACAGCCTCAGCTCAGTCACAACCCTGCACCCCCACCTCCCCTGGTCCATACCCCACCTCAGCTTGACTGCAGCCCTCACTCCCACCATCACACATTCCAGCACACCCTCCTCCTAGCACTCTCCACCTTGTTCTCCCCGACACTACCCCCCTTCCCCAGACAGCCTTAGCCTTGCACACACCATCCCTCACTCTTGTGTGTTCTCTCTCTTTCTCGGCTTCCCAGACCTCCCCCACTTCCCAGAGCCTCCTCTGCCTGGGGAGGCATCTCACCCCCCTCACTGCCCCAGGCCTTTCATTCCTGGACAGTGAGGCTGTACATCTGGTTCAAAGCTGCCCCACCCAAGACCCTGTGTTCAGGGCACCCTGGCCTGGGCTTTGGGGGCTTGGGGCCTCTTTGGGGGCTCTTGGCACCTGGTCACTCTGGTCTCTCAGCCAAGAACTTGGAGTACCTGGCTCTGCCCTGGCTGTGGCATGTGGGGGGGGGGCAAGGGGATTTACCCCCAGCCTGTGCTTTCTCGGGCGCTTGCCAACCGCCGCCCCCCCCAGCTCACCTGAGAGGGACATTGAGAGGGACATGGGCTGCAGGAAAAAAAGACCATGAAGGTGCTGGCTTGACATGCTCCCCGCCCCCCCCAATCCGGGCTTGGGGCTTGGTCTCCCTGGGAGTCAGTTCCGACAGTGAAGGTTACTTGACTAGATGCATGATTTTAAACGGAATCTCCACCATCTGTTCCACCCCCTAATTACAGATGCACAGAATCCGCCTCAGAGGGCAGCATGAGGGGAGTGATTTAGAGGCTGAGCTGCTTCTGCCCGCATTAGGGCTGGGGAAATCGGGGGGCCTCTGGGTATTGCTCACAGCCTCCCCCCCAATACCATCTCTTTCCCAGGGGCTTCTCGTGCCACATCTGTTGCTGGAGGAAGGCTCCGAGAAAGGTTCCCCTGACCCCTAATACCTGACAGATGCAGCAACTGCAATGCTGAAGGGAAGGGTCCCCAAGACACCCCCCCTGTCCCAGGCCCCAAGTCCTAGGATGCAGGCTCCATTAGAGCCTTGAAAAATTCAGTGGATCGATCTCCTGCCTGCCTCTTGTACCCTGGGGAGCCACAGGCGCTGGCCCAGCTGTCTGCCCACCCCAGGGGTAGCAGGGACTGGTGAAGTAGGGAGGGGTTGGTCAGAGCCGAGTGGGGGCAGCCAGGTTCTGGCAGCAGAGGACATGGCCAGGCATGCCAAGATCCACCAAGTGTGTTTGCACGTATCTGCTCATCCACCTTGGCACAGCTGGCATGCCTGGCCCTAGCTTCAGCCATACTCTGTGGGGCTGGACCCGTACCAGGGGCTAGAGGGGATGGGCTAGGGCCTGGGCCTCAGAGGGTTCTGAGGGACATGGGGCTACACCCTGAGGATGGGTTCTCCTTTGTCCATGGGCACCAGCCTGCTTGGTGGTGGCATCGGCGGGCACACTGCGGTAGAGGCTGGAGCATTCACTTCTGGGAGAAAGGGAGCGAGGTTGGGCTGGAGGAATTTTAAAGATTGCTGCAGGCAGGAGGGTCCCTGGAACCCCGTGGAGCAGGCAGTCATGCAGAAGTAATCCTATCGCCGCCTGGCTGGAGGAGTGGAGAGGATAGGGCGGGAGAGGAAGGATGGGTTGCTGCCCCGCTCCCACCTCAGCCCCTGCCCTCGCCAGCCATGGAGGGAGCCAGGGACCCTAGGGACCTTCCCTGAAGAGGCACCTTGTCTTCTCCATTCCACTGTGGCATGTGCCCCCTGGAGGGGCAGCACTGCAGCTGTTGCTCAGCTCCAAGCTCTGGGTTTTATAAATAATGCAGCTCCGAGGTGGGGGCCAACTCAGCCCCGGTCACCTTGGGTCACCCCGTGTGATGTCTCCAGCTGGCAGTCCTGTGGCAGAGCCCCCTCCCTTCCAGCCTACTCTTCCTCTTTTGCTGTGTGAGCTAGTGCCAGAGGCCCAGCCTCTCTGGGCTGGGCCAGGGGCAAAGGAGTGTGGAAGAACCCAGAAACTCCTGTCCCTTTGTCCCACCTCCCAGCCCTCACAGGTTAACTGGCATCTGGCTCATGCGAATTCAGGCTGGAGAAGGATGACCTGCTTTACAGGGGCCTCACCCACCCCAGCCCCTCCATTTTGCAGATGGAGTAACCGAGTCCAAAGAGGGAAGGATGGCCAAGGCCAAGCAGCTGATGAACACCTCCTTCCTGCCCCATTCTGCTGTCACTCAGGCTCTTCTCAGCTCAGCTCAGCTAAGAGCAGGGCTTGGGGGGGGGGCGGGGCGGGGGATGTTTGGGAAAGTGGTTGCGGGCTGAGAGGTTGCCATGGCGATGCTGCAGGATGCTGAGCTGAAGTGGGGGTCCTACAGGGTCTCTGGGGCCCCCAGCTCCACACCCCTGTGGTCTTCTCCTCCCCATCTCCTGCTCCCCACCCAGATGCCTGTCAGGCAGCTCTGGAGACAGGCTGGGTGGGTGACAGGTGGTGCAGGTGATGGGCTGGGTGGGTGAGGAGCTGGGTGGGTGACAGGTGGTGCGGGTGCGAGGCAGGCAGGTGACAAGCTGGGTGACGGGCCCCGCCGATGACAGGCAGGGGGTGTGATTGCCGAGGATGCTGTCTCCCGGCTGGTGGCCTGTTGCAGCTCCCCACCCTCATGCGTGTGCACAGACATAGGTTCTGGGCACAGAGCTTGGGGCTAAGATACTAATGAGGCTTATTATGTGCGGAGGGGCAGGTGCCCAGGCTCACTAATGAGAGTCCTTTAACGAATAGGGGAGGCCGCTGGGGGCTTCGAGGAATTTGGTTGGCCCTTCTGGGCTGAGACCCTGGGGGTCCCGATCTGGCTGGAGGATGAGCCATTTCCCCCCTTACCTTGGCCACTTGGGTTTATGCTAGCACTACCCACAGTCGTGATAACTAGCACTGTGCAAATGCTCGCGATACGGTGCCCAGCCCTTACATGCCTTTTCTCATGTCAACTTAACAGTTGTAGGCGGGAGGCACTGTTACCCATTTTGCAGATGAGGAATCTGAGGCTGAGAGAAGACAAGGGACCTCACATAACAGGTTTCTGGAATTTTAATCCAGGTCTTTTTGTTCTTTCTACTCTTTTTTTAAAAAAAATATATTTTATTGATTTTTTACAGAAAGGAAGGGAGAGGGATAGAGAGTTAGAAACATCGATGAGAGAGAAACATAGATCGGCTGCCTCCTGCTCACCTCCTACTGGGGATGTGCCCCCAACCCAGGTACATGCCCTTGACCGGAATCGAATCTGGGACCCTTCAGTCTGCAGGCCGACGCTCTATCCACTGAGCCAAACCAGTTGGGGCTGTTCTTTCTACTCTTAACCACCAGCAAAACTGAGGCCTTGGTCCAGACCCAGACACTGTCTCAGAGCTTCAGCTTTTCTTTTCTGGAAAATGGATGCGTAGCGAAGGGGTAACCACCACAGGTTCTTCAGTTCTGACTTGGGTGGCTTCAGGGACTTTTCCAGGGAGCTGCTGCAGCCTCACCCCATCTGGCCCAGATTCTGGGTGACACCCCTGGACTAGAGAGAGGGCAGGGCTTAGTGCTGAGGGAGCTGAGCTGAAGGGGGGGGGGTCACCTGGGATTTCTGAGCCACTTCCTGCTTCATGCAGTGGGGAGGCCTGGAGAGGAGCAGCAACCGCCCCAGCTCACACACCCTGTGAGCTGTCGGGCCCCATGGGATCCCAGGTCTCCTTGCCTGTTGAAAGGGCGGGGCTGGGTGTGGTACCAGGGCTGGGAGGTACCTCCTCCTGGGCCCCACCCACCAACCTCGCTTCTTCCCTGGAGGTTGTGAGCCCTCAGCCCTGGGAGGGTGCAGGGTGCAGGGTGCAGGGTGCTGTTACTACCTCTAGGCCATGCCCCCTCCCCATCCATCTGGGCTCCTAGTGTCAGTTGAGCCCCTCCTTTTGGAACTCATTGGGGTGGAAACTCCCTAGCAACAGCTGATGGATGGGTTAGGGCCTTGATATTGGCCTGGGGCCACAGCATGACCCTGGCTGGACCAGGCTGGTGCTGGGGGGCTTGGAGGGGAATTTAAGGGGAAAGAATTAAGCTCATAAATCTTGGACCCTCTCAGTTTTCCTCCTCCTCCACCTTAATCTCTTACCAAACCTGCCCCCCAGCTGCTCAGCCAAGGCCGGGGGTTAAGGGAGTCCACCTGCCCATTCCCCTCTCCCTCCAGCGGGTGCTCACCCACTTCTGAAATTGCACACGTGCACCCCTGTGGGGAAGGAAGACTGCAGCCACTGCAGTTGGGTAGGATAAAGACCTGGTGTGGCCACCACGGGATGTGACCTCTGACTCACAGTGGCAGATAGGGCTTCGAGGCCCCCGTTTCCTCAACCTGGGGTTTGAAATTCTCTCCTGGTACCTGTCTGCTCATTCAGGAAGGAGCACTAAGACCAAGAGGGATTGCGCAGCTGCAGGACACATGGCCCTGTCTTCAGAAGCCCCAGTCTGAGAGAAGCACAGCCTTGGCCTTGGGAGCCCTCAAACCCAGAGGTGAGGTCTAGAATCCAGGCTGGGTGTGTGCTGAGGTTCAGGCGGGAGGGGTGGTGCTGGGTGGTTGGCCTTTGATGGATTTCTGAAGCAAAGGCTGAGGCTGGGGGGAGGCCAGGGGAAGGGTAGTGGTTTGCCTGGGGGCTGGGGAGCCATCTTTGTTTGGGAGCAGGAGCCTCGAAGGGTCTGGCTTTCCCACAGGCCTGGGCAGCAGCAGGCGAGAGTTCTGGGGCCCTCCTCGCTCCCCAGGGAACTGACTGCTGCCTGGCCCTGGGGACCCAGGCATCCTGGCGGGTGAGGGCGGGTCTCCAGCAGGCGCCCTGCCAAACCCTGCAGCCTGCTCACCAGGAATCTTGTTGCTGAGAGATGGAAAATCCCGGCTGGGCCTGCAGCTCATCCCTCCCCTCCGGGAGGAGGAGGGGCCCAGAGAGTCCTTCCTGTACCCCCCTCCCATCTGGGGCAGGGCCCTCGGCAGTGGGTGGGGCTGGGGGGCCCAGGACAGGCCTCTAAGGCTTGGTCACATGTCCTGGAGCCCAGCCCAGCCCGCAGTGGGCACTAGGGCACTCTGGAGGCAGAGGGCCTGGTGCAGCAGAGGAGGGTAAGGGCGGGGTGCTGAGACCAGAGTGGGCCTGGGTGGGGGCCCATGCCTGGCCCTGGCCCCACTGGCTCCCCCAGGGTGGAGGGTGAAGAGTTGGTTCTCTCCTTGGACAGGAAGACGAATGATCCCATTATGGGAGCGTGATTTTATTCCACGTGTCATGGAGTCTGAGATTAACTTGCTCACCAGTCTGTGACAAACCCCTCACACCCTCACACCCAACACACACACACACACACACACACACACAGGCACGGAGACAACACATATCCTTGGTCTCACAAGCATATATCCCACAGATACAGATAACAATTTTCCTACTACAGTATATGGCAGAGTCTCCCACACAGAGACACAAGCACATACTCACACGTAGTTGCACCGAAATCTAGACCCACAGCCTCAAAGCACAACATTCCCCCATTCACGCTAAGGCCACGTGGACGCACAAATACACAGGCATCCGGGGGGATGCTCGCAGCCCTGCTTAGACATGCACAGATCAAGGACACACAGTACCCCTTAGACACAGACACACTTAGCCACACACAAACCAGACACAGTCATGCAGACAGGCATAGACCAACAGCCACACACACTGAGACAAAGGCCTAGATACATACAGAGACAAAGGCAGGCACAGACACACAGCGGCAGTTCGCATACAAGCACAGGCGTGCACACCCGGACACAGACAAAGACAAATAAATGCCCAGAGGTTTTGCTGTGGACAGATGTAAGGCGCACACACATCTGGGCTTCCTCCTCGACCTCCCTGCCTGGGGATATGATAATCTGGTGCCTGTGGTTCCAGGAGGAACACTGAGGAATCTTCTGCTCAGTCAGAGCCCCCCCGCCCCCCCGGGCCCAGGGCCAGCCCCCACCTCTGGCACTGGGCCCGTGACCGAGGCCATGGCAGCCACACCCTCAGCAGAGCCCTGACATTTCTTACCTTACCCTCCCCATTGGACGCTCTCACAGGCACACCATCCACTTCTGCACATGTTCTCAGCACTCCCACATACCCACACACTGAAATTTCTCACCCACACCCCCCTCAGGTGTCCCCTTATCTTTCTCACTCACCCCCCCAAGTAGACATATACAGTCTGCAGCACATACACACTGCCTTCGTGGCATGCACCCTTACCTTCTCTTACACGGACGCCCACACAGATAATACACATCGGCTCTACACACCCTCATCTCTCACGGATCGTCCACGCACACATCCATGCCCTCCTTTCACGTACCTCCTCACCTGCCCTGTCACAGACTAATTCCCAAATGCAAACACACACACACACACACACACACACACACACGCACACACGCGCGCGCATCCTCACCACTTTCTCACACATGTGCGCACGCACACACACAGAGAACCTCCCTCACACCATCGCTGTCTCTCACAAACACTCCCCCTGCCAGACGGGTGCTCTGCGGCAGAGCGGCCCTGGCGGCATCTGTCCCTGCTCCCACTGCGCCCTTGGCCTTGCTGGCCTCAGCCGCTTCCCCTCCACCTCCAGCCCTGCATTCTGTGGCCTTGTCATCTCTCTGTTTAGTCAACAGTTATATATGGAGCATTCACTTATTCATTCAACAAATGTTGATCGAGCATTGATTTTGTGTTAAGCTCTGGGAATACTGTGGTGACTCAGGCCCTCCCTTCATACAGCTCTCACTTTTGTGACCAGTTCTGTCTGTTGCTTGACTAGTATGATCAGATTCTAAGGTATCCTTTGGTCTTGGGATGTTGAAGAATGTGTAGGAAAAATACGGGAAGGGTCTTCCAGGCAGAGGAAAATAGCATATGCAAAGCCTGGAAATGAATCAAACTATTATTTAGGGGTAGGCCAAGGTAGGTCTACACTTGTGAGTACATGAAACGGTTAATTAATAAAGCTATTGTAATCATCATAACCTGCGTATCTTTTTCCATACGAACAACTGTAAACCTACTTTTGCCCACCCCGGTATGCTGGGAAGGTGGGGTGATGTGCAGAGACTAGAAGAGAAGCTGCAAAGAAAACGGGCCGGATGTCCCCGAGTTTAGATGCTATGCTCAGCGGTTTGGATCTTGTCCAGTGGGCCACAAGGAGTCACGGGAAGTCTTTAGTGACAGGATAGGGTGGGGAGAGAACGGAGGCAGGGAGGCTAACGGAGAGGCTTTAGTGGTACAGATGGGAGAGGAGGGTGGTCTGACCTAGAAGAGGCAAGTAGGATAGAGGAGATTCATTTAGAAGCAAGAACCGGTGGAGTTCCAGTTCCTGTAACCCTGGACAGAGTCCCATTGACTCTGAGCTGGGTCCATCACGTGAGGATGGGACAGTGCAGGAGCCAGGCTTAGAGTAAATGCTTAATAAGTGATGGCCAATTGTCAGCGATCAGTAGGACTCGGGGAGACATCAGATGAGGAGATTGACGGAGCACCTTCTGAGTGCTGGGTACAGTGCCAGGTGCTGGGCCCAAAGGCAAGATGGTCTGCAGCTTCTGGAGGCTCACGCACTGAAAACCACAGCTCACGCAGGCAACAGGGAGGCCAGGCATAAGAGTGGGAGGGAGTAAGCACCCTGGGAGGTTAAAGGAGGGTGAGGCAGCACCGGTCAGGGCTCTCTGGGTGGCTCATGGAGGAGCAGGCATTGAGTGGATCCTAAAGAGGCCGGTCGAACTTGGGCAGGTAGAGGTGGGGGAGGAACTTCGGGGGGAGGGAAGCTTGTGAACAAGAGCTCAAGGGCAGGTTGACGAGTCTAACGTGGCTCTTGTGTTGTGGGACACAAGAAGGGGGAGTCGGGAGTTGTGGGATGGGATTAGGAGGCCAGGCTCAGAGGGATGTCAGCACGGAGCGGAGCTACACCATAGAAAATACCATGGTGTGTGCGAGTTGTTGTGTTTAATACCACGCTTTGGTGGTGACATGGAACATGCCCATTGGACATTCTGCTCCAGGCTTCGCTGCTAAGCCATTTGGATGATGGCAAACAAATGCCTTTGCCCTCCTTGGTCTCAGTGTCCCCATCTGTACATGAGGCAGTTGGTCTTGTATAGGAGGGAATCGTGTGTCATGTCCTAAGGGTTGGTTTGCCTGACTGGGCATCTTCTGGCCCGGGATTCGGGGCCTCAGCAGTGCTTTCTTCCTGCGCATTCCGAGGAAAAGGAAAGAGCAAAGTGAGGGGTTTCCCAGAGATAGATTGTGGGTGCTCCAAATGAGGGGCCAGGCACTCACCATGAAGGGAGGGGTCTTTGCCAGGATCTGACTCCAAGCCCCAGCAGGGACCCAGAAGAGAAGGCAGAGCCCCCCTTCCCTTCTGTCCTGACCCGTGTGATTGTAGATGTGGGCCATGTGCCTTCCTACCCACTGACCAAGGAGCAGGGCTTGGGTTCCGGAATGGGGGGAAGGAGCCAGGAAGCCAATCTTGGGGAGACAGAGCCAGGTGAATGCCGGTGGGGAGCTGGGTTCTGCCACTGATGTCTGGGTTTGACGGGAGTCGTGGTGTAAGGCAGGTTCCGGTGACCCCCCTGGATCCTGGCTGCAAGGGGCCCTTTAAGCATCTTACCTGTGAGGTGGGGCTGGTAGAGAATTAATTTCCTGTGCTATTTTAATTTTGCTGTATTTAATTTGCTGTTTATTTTAATTAATTAACGGCAGGTAATCGTTTCTCGTAACTTGCTGCCGCTGGCTCCTCTTCCTTTCCAGAGGGGTGGGAGGCCAGGCCAGCTGATTGCTGAGTGAGCCGTGGCGGGGAGGAAGGGCCTCAGGGACATGTCCCTCTTCCCCTTGGCCTCTCTTCACCCAGGAGTCTTCTCCACTCTCCCCGAATCTCTTCCAAAGGGGCCTCCCCTCCCCTGCCCTCACGTATGGTCCCTCCTGCTCCTCCCCCTCCACTCCATGTCTGCTTCAGGGTCTCAGATGCAGTAACTTGGTGAAGGGAGGCCTGACATGAGACCCCTGCCTGCTCCCCGGTAATCACTAATTTAATCATAGGGTGGTGATGTAAAAAGGGCAGGGAGCTTGGCTTGCAACCTAAGCACTGGGTAGGGGCTGTTGGGAAAACTTTAAAAGTGAAGGTCAGTGTTTAATGGCAGCCTCCTTTCCTACCCCATTGCCCAAACAGCAAACCCATCCGTGTGGTCAGGCCTGTGGGACACTACTATGTCCAAGCACCTGTGAACACATCTGTGGGCATGATTTCAGTTATGAATTAGCTCATCTTTAGGACAGACCTCCAGGGTCGATTATCCTCTCTAGAGATGAGGAAGCGAGGCTCAGAGAGGCTAAGTGAGTTGCCCAAGGTCACACAGCAACTAAGAGAGGCAGGGCCTGGATTCTGGCAGACATCTGTCTGTGCAGAATGAGTTAACAGTTGGAAGGAGAGGAGGGGAAGTGGCTTGGGGATTAGGG